ATAAAGCACATGTTAAAAAAAGGGTAATAATTCTCCATTTCCTATGTCACTGAAGCAACACCAGCTGGAATGCACTATGACACATTAACTCCCTGTTCAAACCAGTATTTACTAGTATTTAGTATGAATGTACCAGATCATTAATCTCTGCATCACTTCAATTTATGGACTTGAAATTTGTCCAACTTGTTACTACAGAACTAATTCCTACTGTTGCAGAACTGTAAACAGAGATGGTCTTGGGCAAGTTTATGCTCACAATTAATAATACAATGTAAGGAGTTGTAACCAGGAGTTAGGCAAGCCAGACTTTTTTCTTCTAAGAGAGGATCAACCAGTCAGTTGAGGCTGATCAACTGTGTCATGAAAGCTTTTGTGAGGGGTTTGTTTGTCAGTGTTGGTTGCTCCCGTTTAAAAAAAACTTCTTGCATGGTTTATATGAGATTAAACTTAACAATCTTTTTTCAGTGACACCACAGAATTACTTTAATGTGTTTTTTAGGTCATTCCAAAGAAAATGATGTTTAGGGAAAGGGAAGTTAGTTCTGCTTCCCTAAACATACATGCTCCCAAAGCAGAACCTTCTCTTCTTTTTATCAGGTATTTGAGTGTTTTCTGGAACAGAAACTTTTCCCTCCTTTTTTTGGTGGGAGGCTGGTGGAGGTATGTTATTTATTTTACAAACAAGAAGATGGTCTGATATGAAACGCTTATATTATGAATTGTCAGATTTTTTACAGCTTTTTTTTCAGTGACGTAGTCTGTCCCATCAGGCTCAGGAGATAAGGGTGCTGTGCCAGATGCATATGATACAGAAAAAGCTACTACAGAGAGCTTGCAGCATGAACTGTATAGACTGTGTGAAAACCACTAGCATTTTAAAATATTGTCTAAATTCCTTTTTATAAATTTCCTTGGTCAAATTTGTACAAAACCCAAGAGACTCATACCTCTGGTATGATTTTTTATTTGGATGCATGTAAGATAATAAGTTTCTTCAAGGAATTCTACTTTTAAGGATACGGATTTGAATATTCAATATTAGTTGTAGTCATGCCTTTCTAATGTTCCACTTTATTACATGTTTATTAAATCCTGTGTTCACGTGATTAGAATTTACACAACCTGTAACAATTAGCATGAGGCAGAACAGGTTATTCACTTTGCTAGCTTGGAAGCTTTGAAGCCCTGCATATTCTGCACACTGAACAGCAGTAAAGTAGCTAAACCCAAACCTCAGCTCTGAAATAGGGCAGAAAGGTTTCCCTATGGGGCAGAAAGGTTTCCCAGTACCTGTCCAAGCCCTAGAAGTATTCACTCCTTGTGTTCCAAGTTTTGCTGTGGCTGCTCCAAATAGCACAATTAATTTGTTTAAGACCAAACTGTGTGTGTGGTGTGAGCCTGCCCAGCTCCTGTCAGGGCATGAGGGTCATAAAATCGTAGAATGTTGAGGGGTTGGAAGGGACCTTGAAGACCATCTAGTCTCAGCCCCCAGCCATGGGCAGGGACACCTTCCACTAGATCCAGCTTGGCCTTGAGCACTGTCAGGATTAGGGCATCCACAGCCTCCCTGGGCAGCTTCTGCCAGCACCTCACCACCCTCACAGTGAAAAATTTCTCTGTAATATCTAACCTAAATTTCCGCTCTTTCAATTTATACTCATTACTCCTTGTCCTATCGCTACAGGATGGGATAGGGTAGGATAGGATAGGATAGGCTTTGAGCCTCTCTGCCCATCCCCTCGAGCATCCCCGAGACGAGGCACCCGCAGATCCCCACCCTTCTCTGGCCTCCTTTCTGACAGGAGCCGGGGAAACCCCAGGGTACCCTCGGCCCCCGCCCCGGCGCTTCCCAGGCCGCCCCATCCCCTCCCCGAGCTGTGTCCGCCTCATCCCCTCCCCGAGGTGTGTTTGCCTCATCCCCTCCCCGAGGGTGTGTCCGCCCCATCCCCTCCCCGAGGGTGTGTCCGCCCCATCCCCTCCCCGAGGGTGTGTCCGCCCCATCTCCTCCCCGAGGTGTGTCCGCCCCATCCCCTCCCCGAGGTGTGTCCGCCCCATCCCCTCCCCGAGGTGTGTCCGCCCGGCCCGCGGGCTGGGGCAGAGGGAGGGAGAGTTCTCCGCTTTCCCCGCGGTCCCGGGCTCGGTTCCCGTCGGGATGATCGCCAAGCCCCTGCGGAAGCCCCCGGGCAAGCGGCACAGCTCGGGCTCGGGCGTGGAGCCGGACCGCGGGCGCTGCCCCAGGAGCGGGACCAGCACCCCGGGCTCTTCCTCAGCGACTTCGACCAGCAGGGTATGGCCGAGGGCGGCGGGGCTGCCCGGGGCGAGGCGGTGGTGCCCGCCCGCCGGCACTTCCCTGCCCGGGATGGGTGGAGGGAACAGCGGCTCCCGGCGGGAAGAGCCCCCGGGCCGGGAATGCGCCCTCGGGCAGCGCCGCCGGCACCGCGGGCTTCGCCCCCGAAGGAGCGGCTGGTAGCAGGCGCTCCGACTCCCAAGTCGGATTTCTCCGGATAAAGCGTTGTTTTAATTTCCTTTTATAATGCGATCTTCCAACGTTTATACTTGGAAACATGTAACACGCGTGGCAATAAAATCTGTTTTGTTTTAAAGACAAGGAGCACGTCCAGGAGACGAAGAAAGAGCTCGACTCGCCGCTGCAAACAGCTGAGAAGGCGTTTGCAGTGGAGCTGCTGGCGATGCCGGCTGCCAGCAGGAAAAGGGAAAGGAAAGACTTGCTCAGTAAGTGTGCGTGGCCCTGTCCTTGTGAGGGGTGCGGACAGGATTAGGGCAGGATGTGTCTGTGAGAGAATCTGTAAACTCAGGGATTTTTATGAACAAGTTTGCTTTGTCTGGTGAGTATTTTAAGCTAATCAGCAGAGCTGTTACCCTGCAGATGGTCAGTAAGCACTCTTGTTCAGGCAGACTGATCTGTGTAATGCAGGGTATAAAATTAATAGGTAACAGTGTATAGTCTGGAGCTTTTCCTACATATGCTCTAAAGTCTTATTTAACGTCTGAAAAGACAAAGAATAATGACAAACCTAGTGCTTTCTGTGCATAGAAGTATAAGCACTTCTGTCCATCTGAATCTGTTCATCCTGGCCACAGAGATTTTTTAGTTTTTGTCAATTTGAAGCCTTTTACTACTGAGCCTTTCTCAACTAGTCATTTACCTGTGATGATGAGAAAATAAGTTTAATTTTAACTCACATGTGTGCAGCAGTTTGAGATGTGGTGTATACTCAGCCTCAGATGTATATTCGGATGAGAACTGATGTTTTTGGAAGCAACCTTGCAGCTGGAAATTGCAGGGGCCACACAAATATCAGACCTAAGACTCATGAAGAACTTACGTTTACTGTAAGCCTGAGTATGTATTTTGGTGTTTTTCTTGAGAAACTTCTGCCTAAAAGCATTAGATTTCTGCATTAGATTTCTGCGTGTCTATGTGATTCTTCTTTGAATTTAAGTTATATACTGTGTGACTACACTCAGTATACTTTCAAAGATTAAACATACTGAAATTTTCATTGTTTTGTAGGATGACTACAAAAAAATGCAACATATATGCTAGCTAAGGTTACCTATTTAAGCCACTGCAATCTTGAATTACTTGTTCAGCTTCAAGGCCTTAAGATAAGAACTTGAAGATAAAAATTATGCAAGTAATAGTATCTAAACAAGTTACACTTTCTTGAACTACAGATTTGCAAGGAGGGGAGGAAGTGGCTCTTACTGCTACAGTGGTGTGTGTTTTAAAATTTTATCACAGTTCACAGAATAGAATTCTCCTCTCCCTGCTGTAAATATTTCAGACAAAATATTTTGTTTGGCTGTGTGTTTAAATAGAAGATGATATTAAAAGACTAGAGAGCCAGCCACAGTGCAGTTATGAACATTACCTAAACTTTTAGGATCATCTGCTGGCAGAAATCCAGATGTTCATACAAAAATGAACTGGTGTTTAGCCAATCTCACTTCTGTCACTTCCTTTCATGTGTTTTTTGTAACATAATATTTATTTACTGGGCAAAATCTGTTGATCTTCCCTTGTTGGATAAACACTATCTTTTAGACTGGAAGGTGTATATATGAGACAGGTGTTGGTTGCACAGAACTTCAGTATTAATATGTTTTGACAGCATGAAAGTCCTTTTAGAATGCATATTTGCCGTTTTATATATATGTAGAGCTGTATGTATATATATGTGTGTGCGTGTGTGTGGGGGGGCTTAACTGCTCTTTTTCAACTGGAAATTCTTACAGTATTGTTTCCTGCAAATACCTATCATTTTGCTTTCAAATGCCACTTCTTTTAACTGCAGTCTTGCATATACCTTTTCAGATTTCCAAAACCAAATCATTGGTTTTACTGGCCTCTGGTTTAAATGGCAAACTGAACCCTCTTTCCAGGTAAGACTGACCTTTGATAGCTTATTTAGCTCACCTGAATTTGTGAATGCTGAAAAAAATTATTTTTAAATAAAGTAGTGGAGATTTGAGCCCAACAGGAATACATCTGATAAGAATGTCCTCCCTGACTGGGTGAGATGGACTGTGATTATGTGAAGCTGGACTAAAAAGCACCTCTAGCTGATGAAGGCATGGAGTTGTATTTCTCACTGAATGGTGCATAGTTCTAAACTTAGGGAATCAGTATAGATTTTGAAACAATACTTAATGGAAGAGAATATGTAAGGGAAGCATCTTTACTCTGTTAGGACTAATAAATTGTTCTGTAATAAACACTCAATTTGGTTATTGCAGCCCTCTCTTACTTACTAACATCAATTAACTCTTTTGTTCCTATATGTTGTTAGGTCCTAGGATATCATGTTTACCTCAGAAGGGCTTTTTCGTGTGTGTATACACTAGATGTCTGTCCTGGAGCACTCCCTAATCCATTCTCTAATCCACTGTTTGTCTATCTTCATCCCAGCTAAAACTCCACATTAGAAGTAGAGGAGAAGGAATAAATAAAAATAATAATAAAACAAGAACTGCTTGCAAAAGCTCCAGGGGGTACTTAGCAGGTGACCAGGTAGCTGAGCCATTCTTAGCAAAAAGGAAGGTCCTTGGATAAGAAGCGTTACAATCAAGAACACAGCAGGGACTCACTCTCCCAAATAAGGTGTGCCAGGCAGATCTTGCTTGGATACTGGGGCACCAGCCAATGGACACTCAGGCCCATCCTGGTCCCAGGCAAACTTTGCTTGGGTACTGGTGAACTGGTCAGTGGGCACTCAGGGTCTGCCACAGGGAGGGTGTTTAAGGCAGCATGCCAGTGGCACTTTGTGGTGGTTGTAAACTCCTGTCCTGTGCTTTTAACAGTCACCCTCAGCTTTTCCTGATTTTCTGTCTCCCTTCTTTCTCTCTGCTCTTTTGTGTAACAAAATAAAGTTGAGTTATCCTTTTTGGAATCCAGCATCTGGCCTCGTTTGTGCCTTAATCTCGCTTAGGGGAAAGTTTTAGAACCTGGTTCCCCTCCTCATCTAAGCAGATCAGAACAGGGTTTTTTGGCTTGTTCTTAATAAATAATTTTGTTAAATACCACATGATTTCACGGAATATGGGAAGGGACCTACAGGAATCATTGAGTCCAACTCTTAAGTGAGTCAAAGGAGGAACAACATCTCTGCCTCAGTTAGCTTAGGAATTTAGTTGGTCTCTGACCTTCGAAGAGGAGCTGTACCTTAATCAACAAAAATGCATGTTTTCCTGAACTTTGCCATTTTGGCTCTTTTTCTCTTAAACCTATAATCAGTTTAGTATCATAAAATAAAGACAAAGGAAACTGAGATAATTGAAAACAGCTGAATAGTCCACCTGAAGGACATTAACCAAATGAATCATATACTTGAAAAGGCACTATCAGTAGAAGTTGTTTTGCTAGGAATTCAATTCAACTAAAGGATTGTTGAAGTAGAAAATAACATGAGGTTATCTTTTAACTAGTGATAGATGTGTCTTGTAGTGGATAAAGAGAATCAGATGAGATCGTCCACAGCCCCAAATTCCTGCCACGAAAGAGACACTAGATGGCAGACGTGCTCCACGAAAGAGCAGTCAGGTGAGATTTGAGTATAGGATCATGCTGTAATGAGGTGGATAGTTTTCCGGGAAGCAACTTTGGATGATACCATGTATAAATAGCCGAAGAAACTGTACTTCAGAGAGGATGTGTGGTTAATGATTCCCCGTGCTCCCGTCACGACGAATTAAAGGAACGTTTCATCCAGACGACACCGTGTCTTTGTTTCGGTTGGTGCTGTGACTCAGATCCCGCTGTTCGCTGTGAGACCCCTTGGTGAGACAGACGCTTTCAGGGCACCCCTGGAGATTCCTCCGGCAAAACCTCCCTCGGCCACGGGATCATTTCAGGAGAAGACAAGGTCCTGGCCACAGGTAAGAACATTCCTTTTCTGGCATGGTTAAAAGACCAGGCTCTGGGTTATTGCCCATAAGTGCATATAAAGTGGTGGATGAAGTGTATTGGGCTGCCAGTGCCTTATAGATACACATCGGGCACTTTATATATGGTTCTGTCTGTCATGGGGTCTCCTGATTCAGGATTGATATTTTTGTCAGCTTACAGACTTGGTTTTGGACTTGGTATTGCGTGTATCGTAATTTCTGTCTGGGTGTATTGCTATCCTGTCCCTTGATTCCCTTTGTAGAAGGTGCCAGCCAGTTATAATTACTCAGTGCCAATGGGAAGGTTGTCTGGGACTCATCAGGGCAGACTAAAGCCGAGGGTGTGAGTGGCAGTGTAATCTGACTATTTGCAAGCACCTTCAGACTTGGGGCTGGGGGGACAATACAATAAAGCCCAAATTCACCCTTGTAAGTGGTACAACAAGTTAGTAAAGCTCTGGGGATAGATTGGCACTTGCATTGCATAGTCCCTACCATCCCCAGGACAGTGGGCAGGTGGAAAAGATGAATCATTTGATCAAAGAGCAGTTGGCAAAGATTGGTCAAGAGGCTAATCTGGGGTCAGATCAGGCATTACCACTTGCCCTACTTAGGATCAGAATTGAACCACAATTAAGGAAGGCCTAAGCCTGTTTGAAATATTATGTGGAAGGCCTTATCAAATCCAGTGCAAGGAAGAAGACATGAGTTAATTAGGAAAAAAATGTTTGAGGCAATATGTAGTAGCTCTAGGGAAACAGTTGAATGAAATAATAAAGTGTTTTTGGGACTAGAGCTAGAGGAGTAGACCGTGCAGCTCATTGTTTTAAGCCTGGAGATTGAGTGTATGTTAGAGCTTTTTCAGGTCAGCCTCTGGAGGGGAAGTGGAACAGACCCTACCAGGTGCTGCTGACAACCTTCACTGCCATCAAGATCAAAGAGCATGGATTCACCATTCACGAGGGAAGAAAGCACCTGAGAAGGCTTGGACATCAGAACCAGGCAGACCCGCTACCATCAAGTTTTCCCAGCATTGATCTTTGATAAGTATAATAACTCTGACTGAGAGTTTTGCCTCAGACTGGCCATGGTCTCAAGCATGTTGTGGGTTCTCTGGTCTAGAGACCATATATATAGATGATCATCAACAAATGGCTACATATAATACCTCTACTGTGGTCTTACAAAGAGACACAATGATCTTAAAAGGTTGGCAGAATCCACACTATGGTGCAAGCATTTTGGCTGAAGTTGTTGGAAAGGAAGTATGAGTAGAATGTAAAATACTTAATCCACCCCTACAAGAAAACTAAAAACTGCAACCCCAAATTTTTGTGAGAGATTCTTTGGTTCTTGGGGGTCCATCCTGTTCACCTTTTCTTAAAACTTCACATGCAGGATGGACAGCGTGGCTGCACAAATGTACATTCACCTTCAAGAATTGGACTAGAAGATATATAGTTGGGGCATTAGGATCAGGATTAGGGATTTTGAACAGCATGGATTCTGAAATATTAATAAATAGATTGGAAAGAGTGACCAGCAATTTGAATCAACTGCAAAGTCCCCTAAAATCTTCCCTTTCAGCTCTAGGACCTAGTCAACAACTCACGTTAGAAGCATTACTCCCATGGGAAGAAACTAATGAAAATATCATCTGTTAATTGCAAAAGCTCCTGGGACAGCTCAGACCAATGTTTGTTTGGCTCTGAGTTGTATTCAGGCTCAAGCTTGGATACAAACAGTGATAGTGGCAATCATTAGGGAGGGTGAAGGTGGCATCTTATCAACTGAAATTTGTGCAGTTATTTGGCAAAATGTGACACAATTTGAATAAGAATTGCAATTGTGGTAGTAATGAGTTAATTTGACCTCCTGATCCTACTACTGGTGTTGCTACAGCCTTTGTACTAACTGTACAAAAAGCTGAAATTAATAGGATCTACCCAATTATCACCTTAAGGGCAAGTCACGACAGAACTGTACTGGAACCCTTGAGACATTGTTTGGACCCTGAGAAAAGGAGATAAGTGGCAAACAATTGATGCAGAGGCATGCATTGTACAAGAACAACAAGGATTTACCTGTGAGAGCAATGCTATGAAAGCTCAGGACATCTGTCTAGATACTGAACAAAGCATTTGTCATTTTGAGATGCACCCATTTGAAAATCCCAGAACTGTGATTGTTTACATAAGGTAAAGGCTGTGCTTGCTTGAGGACCCCACGCAGCCTGTTGCATGTAGATAAACATTCTTTAATGACCAGTAATCATTCCAATTTCTGTGTTTGCAATTTTGTTAACATTGAAGGGTGTGATTTTCATTATGCAGCTCCAGTTTTTTCATACTCCTTGTTACGATGTGTCTGTGTGTTATTTTAGAGGTCCAGCCTGCCCTCATTGGAATGGACTATGCCTTGCTTGGAGATTTATTGCATCATGGAGACCTGCAGCAACTATGGAAGCAAATCCAAGAAAATGGACGAAAGACTCTAATTATGGTCCAGCATGATGTAGAAAAGATTGACCACATACTTGAATGAGTTAAAGAAGACAGAAAGAACTATTGATGGGATGTTTTCATGAGAAAATCTCCCTCAGCAACTCAAGTTTTGAATGTGTTGATTTTGTTGTTTATAATAGTAATACTTTCAGTGGTCAGTTTTGTATTTTAGTATAAGTTAAGAACCTTAGCATCTCAGGTAATGAAGAATTCAAAAATAAAATACAATAAAAATATAAATAAAATAAAAAAAACCTAAAGTAAGAAAAAGTAAAAAATAAAAGATTAAAATTATTTTATGGGTCGGGCAATTAGTTACTCTCACCAGGAGTATATTTCACTACTAGCAAAATTCAAATGTTTTTTTCAAATTGCTGATAGACTTTGATTGCAGACTTTGGCTGCAGACTGAAGTGTAACTGCTCTGAAAATTCCAGGAAAAGGTGTAAAATGATGAGTGAAAAATGTCAAGGGTAATATTTGTCTAATGTGATTTCACTCATACGTTTATATCCAAAAATGTCTTTCTAGACCACCTGGGAGTTCTACTGTTGAGTCAGGTTAGCCCTTTCCTTTTTCACATTTACTCCATTTTGTTTGTACTTCCCAAGTCTATTTTATTTTTCTCATTTTCTTTTACCCTGCTGGTTTGTTCTTTCTTGGCTTTATTTTTAATTAGTTAAACATAAGTGGCCTTTGACATAGCAAAGATTATGAAAACAGTGGGACATTGGTTACTGCTTTGAAAGAGTAAGGCAAATATTTTTGTGTTTGTTCTCCTTTGTCTGTTACCTCTCTCCTGGGGTTGTATTGTCAGTAAGTGAAGTAAAAGAGCCACTTGAAAGGGGGAAAGAGAGTTTATTTGGAATCTTTCTTAGTTTTCTGTGTATTATTAGGGCTAAAAGCCCTAATAAATCTTAGTTCCATTGTGCTATACAAAGCTACAAATGCGTAATGAGAACATCTGAAGTTTACAACATTCAGCATTATGCCAGACCAGACCTGGCAGGGAGATGATACTTAATTTTATGCATGCAGATCAACCACCAGAGATTTTGAGCCAGCATCTAGTCATGTTTAACATCTCTTGAAAATCTGTCCTCTCACAATGGAAGCTCCTATGTGGAAACTGGCCTACTGGAAATCTCTCCTTTTATAGCCATTTGAAGACCAGGGGGGAGATGGTGATCTGAAATCTGAAAGTATTTCCCAGCTCTGGTGCCTGTCCAGCACTGTAAGCTTGAGAATATAACCTTTTACTTGTTTTAGACCTTCTCATATCCAGTAACAAATGGTGGCCAGACTGTGCATGTTTGGTCTCCTTTTGAGATTTGTGTTGTATTTCATTTGGAACTGCAGCATTTCGTGATGAGCAGAGGTGGTGGCTGTTGAGATGGTTGATCCTGTTGCACACGGGCAGTGTGGCTCCCTAAAAAATGAAGACGTGCAAACTGTTCCCTTGCCTGACTTCAACCAAAAGTTATTAAAGAGATTCTGCTAGTTAAGTAAAGCTCAAATTTTGGCTACAAGAATGTGCAAAATAGTCCCAGAATCCTGCATCTGTCTGTGCATTTCTCTGTAATGGGTACAGATTGACCTCAAAGAGGTTCAATGATAATTCCTTAGAGATTTAACAGAAGGTATAAGATCTATACTTGTGTTGCCTTCCTAGAGAAAGCTCTTTGGGAATTAACCATTGCTACTTGTCACAGGGGAGAAGTATTAAGTGCCTCCTGATTTGCATGAAGGGGTCTTAACAGATTGTTCAAAGAGGTTGTAGCTGGAAAAATTTAAGGTCCGGTTGGACGGGGCTCTGAACAACCTGATCTAGTTGAAGGTGTTCCTGTTCATTGCAGGGGGCTTGGAACTAGATGAGCTTTAAAGGTCCCCTCCAATCCAAACCACTGTGTGATCTTTGGAATTCTGTCTGCTGGAGCAGAACAGGTCTATTTCTGGCTTTCCAGAGTTTGAATACAATCCAGCATGATTTAAAAAACACTGGAAATGAGCACGTGCCACGGAAAATAACAGGATTCACAGGCTGTGTACGTGAAATGTACACTGGATTGCTAAAACTGGAGGGTTTTATTCATGGTGATGAAGATATACTAATCTGTTTTGTACTCATTCACAATAGCCCACGTGTTAATGTGGACTCTGGGCCTCAAAAATCAAGGATGGAATAGGAGTTCTACTTTTGGTAAGGCCTTAACGTATCAATGAACCAATAAATCCTCAGTTTCCTACAGCTAGGCAGTATCTTGAATTTGGAAAGCAGCCAACAGTCACTTTTCCTGCTTCTGCAGGTAAAAGCCAGGTGGTGGTATACTGAAGTTGAGCACTTCATGTTCATCTCCATGGAAATATTTATATTCTGATAAAGCATCCTCAATGAAAGAAGGCTGATAACAGAAACACCAAGTCAGCTGTAATGAAGCCACTACGGTTTTTCCTGTTGCAGTAGCAGAGTTCTTAAGAAATCCAAACTTCAGGCTGTTTAAATAATTTAAAATATAAACTCCATATTTGGAAGATTACAGAGATGACAGTTAAAATCAAAGGAAACAATCTGATTTCTTTTTAGCAGTGACCAACTGTAGTCACTGACACACTTTTCAGTGTATTCTAAGGCACTTGAAAATGTGGGCTATGAAGACTGTAAACAGGGACACAGAGATAAGAAGCTTCTTTACCAGCCCTATTCATTCCAGAGCCTTTATTTTAAGTAGTATAGTAAAGCTACTGTGGCTTGGTTTGAACAGTCTTCTCCTTGGAGAACTGTGATCTCCCTTCTATTCCATGGAATGTATACAAGGAAAGCTGCTTGTGCAGAACAGTTCTCAGCATTGGAGCCTCTGGGACCATAAGAATTAATTTGTGTACTATTCCCAAGAGCTCTGTGTTGGTATTTTCCAAATCACTTTCTTTAGAGTAGTGCAGTTTTCAAGCATAGTCAGCATTGCCTTGTCTCTCCCATTAAAATGATCTCAGGGAAAACAGGCTGAGTCTGGAATGAATCCTTTTGGAAACATCACTACACCAGGAGTTGATGGTGAGACTACTACCAGCTTGGCATTTGTCATTTACAGTGAGAATTCTGCACATTAGCAATGATGTGTTCTAGACAGAAAGAAAAAGTGATGACACTGTAAGAAAAGGTACCAAGAAGGCTTAGCCTTGATTTGTTCTGGCTGCCATAAAAGGCAAAATGAAGTAATCTATGTTTGGGACATACATGCTGGAATTAAATTGGACATAATGTTGTCTGGAATGAACTGATGAAAATTAAAAAGAAATTCCACAAATAAGAAGTTTAAAAAAATGGACAGTGCCTTTTAAATGATAAAGGGCTTCTGCTATAGTGCAGAAATATGAAATAGTTGACATTTAAAATGTCAACAGTTTCAGTGTTTACCAGAGGAGTTCTGACATTTTAATAGTGACCATTTGAGCTTTTATTTGTTTTAAATGCCTCACTTAAATTCTTTTAGCAAATTATGAGCAATCTGGTCATCTTTGAAAAGTGGCATCCTCTTTTGGGACGACAGCTGTTGGGGGAGCAGAGCTCTTAATTTTGATGGTTACAGTCTGTGAAATAAGGTCAGCCAAAGGTGGACACTTATTTCCTATGCTTGCATTTGCATTTGCTCTGGGTGGGAAGAAAAACTGAGCAAGGGGTAATTATTTCTTTTATTTTTTTAATTTTTTTTCTATGAAAATATGATGTGGATGAAAACCTTTGTTTAATGGTCAAAAGTAGTAGGCTGAGCCTTGGGAGATCTCATTCCTTCCTGAATTTGGCTGGCTGGCTGCCTTTTGCGAAGTCCTTCCCTCTCTGTGCCTTGGTTTTCATGGTTTAAGAAGTTAAGTAGTAGTCCCTTTTTTTCCAAAAAGCATTTTGAAATCAGTTTTAGGAAGAAATTAATTTTTGTGACATTTGTAGAGACTGCAGAGGCTTCTCAAACTATTTAGAAGACGACAGTTGTAGTTTCACTATTGAGAATTTAATCTGTGCTCAGCTATTCAGTGTCTTATGACCACTAATAAAGGGCTTATACTGAAAAGTTTTTGCATTATAATTTTTAATGTAAATGACACTGAATTAACACTTCTGTTAGGAAGACACTAAAAAAATCAAATAATTCATTTGGTGCCATTCTCACTTCCAGCTCATATACTCATTTTGCTTATACTTCTAATAGAATTTCTGCAGTATTTTATTGGCACCTGAGTGCTCATTTTAGCTCAACAAAGGAAAATGTCTGGTGTAAGGACCCGTTCCACAAGGTTTCATGCCTATACCATATGCATAGTAAAAGGAATCTCCATCCCCAGTTTCATATGAGGAAGTGAAGTACTTGTGAAAGCCTTTTGGCTGAAGAAAACTGCACACCATGGCTTGCCAAAGGATGCTTATTGTCCATGAAACTTCAATTGGTTGCAGCTTTTTCTGTAGAATAAGGAATTTCTGTGAATGCATAGTATATTTTGGTTGTTGCTATTCTTGGCTTTCTTCATAAAAGAAGCAGCATAAGCTATTACTGCTATTTATAAAAGTACTTTGTGACCCCATGCCATAGTGTTGAATGGATTTCATGACAGTTTTTTAATCCAAAAATTTATCGTTGGAGCTTGATAAAAGCTGGTAATGGCAATTCTGTCTCTATTTTAAAAATACCTATTAAAGTTCATTGGTGTAGAACAAGTCTAAGAAAACAATTAGATTCCTCTCATAACTTCCAAAATGTTTGTGTTTTTTCTTAAATGGGCTTTTTTTAAAACCAACCAAACAAAAAAAAACCCCAAACCCAAAAAACACGTGTTCTGGAGATTGTATTTCTTTTGTTATAATTTAGAGTTTATTCAGAGCCTGCTAAGGCATTGGGAGTCCTGACTGAGACACTGCCAAACTAACTCATTTTCTTCCTTTAAATAGAATATGTGGTGGGAATTTTCTGGCTTCCTACAGAGATGAGTAAGATCCTTCAACTGTGCTCAACTGATGGGTTTATACTGGATCTTAAAATATTTCAGTCTTCAGAAGGAAATCCCCCATGAAATCTAAGATGATGTTCTTTACCCTTTGAGATGAACACTATTCAATAAGGGGCCTGTGTCAGCCACATCTAACTCCATGAACTGAAGAATTTATAATGGTTTCTATTTCATGGCATATCAGTTTGTTGCATATCTTAAATATTGCACCAACACCTTGAATTAAAAGGTGTGTGAATGATGGAAATAA